TTAGAGGCTTGTACATACCCGATGTCGATCTTCTGGGTGTCTAAAAGAGCCTTTTTTAGAACAGTCCACCGAGGCTCCACGTCTTCGTCATTATAATTGTTTATTGTTTGTAAACGCGCTTCGAGACTCTCGGTTGCTTTAGCTCGTATATCGGGATCAACGGGTTTTTTGACATCGATTCGCTTAGGTTTATTTGGACGTTGGACTCTAGTGAAGTAACGAAGCTGTAGATTTATCACCACGGGGTTATGGTCACTGTTTACGTCTGCACCAGGGTATGTTGTTGCTGATTTAACAAACTTCATTAGATGACTCTTGATGATGACGAAATCTATTTGATTTCTCACTATATGGCCATCACGATCGACTGGGGACTTCCACGTATACAGACGTCGAGGATGCTGTTTGAAAAAAGTGTTGGCAGCAGAGAGACGGTGTTCTGCACAGAATTGTACCAGGCGGTCACCTCTAGTATTGCGTGTTCCAAGGCCTTGGTCACCGCAAACCTCGCCATCAGCACCCTTCCCGATTTTGGCATTGAAGTCGCCAAGAACAATTGTTAACTCCCCTTGTTTTGTTATTTTCATGGCTTCTTCTAAAGTAGAGTAGAAATCCTCAACCACCTCATCAGACTTGTCCCCTGTTGGAGCATACGCTTGAATCACATTCATAACTCTATGAGTAGTGAGCAGTCTCAGAAGCATCACTCGTTCCCCGAGTGGAATAAAATCGATTACGGATTTCTCCAGTTCAGAGGAGATGAACACAGCTACGCCATACTGGTGTTTAGGATCGTCGCCACCAGAGTAGTAGAGGACACCATTTTTAGTCCTGTGAGTCCCAGTACCTGGCCATCGCACCTCGCTTAGCCCCAAGATCTTGATCTGGAGTCTATGCATTTCTGCATCTATATTGGCGAGTTTTCCTGCCATGTATAGGCTACGTACGTTCCATGTAGCAATTTTTATTTTATTTCTATGTATTTGCATTTTGCTAGTTTCTAAGGACGGGGGGATTCTTCGCACCCTCTCCCCACTTAAGGGGTGCCCCGGACTGAGGGCCGCGTTTATATCTATTTTAGCCATGTTGAATATATGGAAATATAGTGTAGTGGGACTTCCGTTTCCCTTCTGCACCGCAGTGTGGAAGCCGTTGAGACTCCTACAGTCGCGCCTCCCACATCCATTGTAACGCTGTGTGTGAAGTACATCTTCGGCACCGACACATGGTACTATTGCTGCTGCTGCCCAACAATAGCTTATCGCCATATCTGGCTACCCTCACTTGGTTTAGCCTGCGAGCCAACGCAGTTTGCCAGGGTGTGGCGCTTGGAGCCAACAAGTGAGAGCTGGAGACCCTGTGGAGACCAGTGCATTGAAACCACCCTCGCAGATGCTTGGGTGTGGCCATTTCGCAGCAAAGGTGCTACTCCTACAGCGTCATCCATACACCCCCCTTCGCGCATGTCAGACATTTATTGCCATTAAGGGGAGCATGTGACAAAACTAATTTTAACACTGTTCAAATGCTGTTTAGAGAATTTGTTATATTAGTGTAATGATATGGAGAAGTAAAGGTATGTTTAAAAAAAGCGTTTATGCCTCAGAAGTGACAAATAATTTTATTAAAATTCCTTTCTAGATGGCAAAGTTCATCACCGCGGATACCGGGTGTTTCAAATTCCACTCTCTTACTTAGAATTTTGGTAATGGTAAGAGATACAGGCTGACTTAAATTAGGGCAAAGTTGCGCATCGGTGAGTTCAATAATGTTCCCTTTTGAAATTGAAGTTATTTTTGTTACTTCAGGAAATATGGCGGAAAATCTGAAACTTCCGGTTTTCGTTTTTATTTTTTGTCTTTATTTTAAAAATCGGTAAACATATTCTCATTGAAACTTTTTAGGCTTCATCTTATAGCCATATCAAAAATCTCTATGTTTTGTTTTCCTCAAACCATTACCAACTTTATTCTTTCTTAGGATCGCCATATTGGATTCGTGCCGTATTGAATACCCCGAATTATTATCTTTTTATTGATGTATCTCAAATTCGAGGTATTGAATAAAAACTTTTATACCATAGTAAGTTATGAATTTTCAATGACATTTAAAAATGGACCTTACCAATGAAGAAAAACGAGTTGTAAAATTTTATTACAAAAAACGATAGAAACGTTGTCAAATCATCGAAAATGTATTTGAACATGTATCCTGATAGACGACAACCTTATCGAACTTTGTTTAAATTATTGGATAGATATCTCGCTCAATTTGCTTTGTTTGAAAAACTAAATGAGAAACTTCAGGATATTTTAAAAAAGCTAAGAATAATAATGGCTATGCACAAACATAATAAATAAACTACAAAAGATGCTCAAAATGTTGTCCGTGATTCTGCAAACACAGTTGTACTCTTCTGTGCATGTTATGCACTGCGCGATGTATTTTCCATTTCCCAAGCTTTCTGTTGACGTTGATTTGGAGCTCTTCTATATTTTGGTGTGCATTCTACCCGTAAATTCTATTTTTAAGTGTATTAAGTATAATTAGATGCATGTATTCTATTGTTGGTGTTGTTGTAGTGGATCAAAGGTAAATCTCAAGCGTTGATGTCAAAAACTGATAATAAGATTCTCCATTCAGAGTGAAGTTAAAAAAATTACAAAATTGTAATCGCCTTTCGGGATCACTTGGATGTAATTTTTGGGAGATACGAATTTTGTTGAAACGTATTTTTCTAGGTGTCTCCGAGCACTCGTATGAGAAGAAGCACTTACATCATAGTAAACTAGACTTGTTTAATTTTCTGCAAAATCCCAACTGTTATTGAAAGAAATAAAATAATTTCACGTTAATCTTACCTCAATAACTAAATTTCCTTTAGTTTTCTCATCCATTCTGTCTCGATATTTTTGTCTTAGTTTTTCAAACTAAGATTTTTATCCAACAATTTATACAAAGTTCGATGAGATTGTCTTGACACCGTTTCTATCGCTTTTATAATAAAGTTTTACCATATCTCATTTTTCTTCATTGGTAAAGTCCATTTTTAACAACACAGTACTGCAGTACATATTAATGCCATCGACAGATTTGAAAATTCATAGCTTACTATGGTCAATAAGTTTATGTTCAATATTTGGAATTTGGGGAAACTCAAATACAACTTGTGATACATCTATAATACGGGCTATTCAACACTGCAAATATCCAATATAGGGACTATAGGAAAAAATAAAGTTGATGACGGTTTGAAAAAAACGAAACGTTGTAAGGGATTTTTCACATGATCATAAGAAGAAGCCTCAAAAGTTCCAATGAGAATGTATTCACAGATTTTTGCTAAGTTTTAAAATAAAGACATAAAAAAGTAAAAACCAAAACCGAAAATTTCAGATTTTTCGCCATATTTCCGGAAGTAACAAAAATAACTTCAATTTCAAAATGAATCTTTGAACTCACCTTTGCGCAGCTTTGCCCTAATTTAAGTCAACCTGTACCTCTTACCTTTACCGATGCTCTAATGGCAAGAGTTGAATTTGAACACTCGGTATATTCCCGGTATATTCGAATTATGCCGCAACTGCATTTTGGTTATTTTTAATACATAGATATAATTTCAAATTTTTCTTTTGCGAAAAACACCATAATTAATAGTATTATGCAACAAGTGGGGTAAACGACATTTGACTCACGAGTTTATTTGACAGGAGCGGAGCACAGTAGAGCGAGTGTTTAATAAACGAGTGTTGCATACTATACTTTATCTACGACCGTTAGTTCTTGGGTATATTTTCGCAAAACAACTCGAATACATTCACTGACATGATCGTCAGAATTGGCAAACGTCAAAATTCAAAGCGTGGGAAATATCTCCGAAAACATACGATTGCTCCCAAATCCGTGCAGTAAAATCCCGGAAATGTCCGAAGTGACTCGGATTCATGAGAAACGAAACTGACGTGGTAAAGTGACGCTTTCCGCACGATCATCAGTGGGTAATCAGGTATTTTACAGACGGGAGTAGATAAACACTTTTTTCTGTCAAAAAAGCTTAATTAAAAAAATTGGCGAATCATCGCCTACTACGTTTTTCATATTCAATACTACCACTAACCACTAACATCAAATCGTTGCATTAAACACTGAAAAGTTTGTCTAGTTGGTATACCTCTATTAGGGTACTTCGTCATGTAAAGTTTTACTGCCAACACCCAGTGTATAATATATATATGGTCAACTAATGTTACAGGAATTGAATTTAACAGAAAGAAGGGTAAATATTGAACAACTTGAAATAAGTAGCAAAGTATTAAAAACAGGTATATGACATACCTAATAATAGTTGTAGGTTTTTGGAAGATAATAAAACAATAAAAAACGAAAACGGGAAGTTTCAGATTTTCCGCAATATAGCCTAGTAATAAAAATAACTTCAATTTCAAAACGGAACATTTTTGAACTTACCGTTGCGCAGCTTTGCCCTAATTTTAGTCAACCTGTATTTCTTACATTTACCGATATCCCAATGGTAACACTATGGTGAAACACGTGGTATATTCACGTTATGGCGGAACCGCATTTTGGTTATTTTTAATACATATATTGAGAATTTCAAATTTTTTGTTTTCAGAACACACCATAATTGAACACTTTTTTTCTGTCAAAAAAGCTTAATTAAAAAAATGGCAACTAATGTGTTTGTATCGCAAACATAACATGGAAGCAATTTTTCAGTTGTAGCCTACAACTTTTATATTAAATTTTTTTTTCTAAAATCTAAAGGAAAAATATTAGGGGAGTGGACAATTATAAGGAATCATCTTGTACATAACAAGTAAACATAAATAACATAATGTGGGCTAAATTGTTTTCGATTAACCAAAAAGAGCGTCTTGAACGGGGGGGATTTCAAACATTTGTTCATTAAAACTGTGCCGATCCATTAAAAATAGTTAATCTATGTGATCAAAAATAATGCGTTTTGTTTTTTTTTTCAGAAGAGCAATTTCGCAAAAGTGTAAACGTATTTGAATTCGGTGACGCGTCGCCAATACTTCAAGCATTATTTATGAACAGTTGGTCAGCAGAAATGACTGAAGACTTTTTCGCTCACCCGAAAGTGCAAAAGTTACTCAAATCTCGAGACCATTTCGACGTCGTCGTGATTGAACAATTTGTAAACGATGCCACCAAGATATTCGCGTATCACTTTGGTGCGCCTTTAATAGTTGCTAGCAGTTTGGGGCCGAATTACTGGGTAAACAGTTTGGTGGGAAATCCTGAACCACCCGCCTACGTCCCGAGCTCATTTTTGAACTTCAATTATGAAATGAGCTTCTCTGAACGTCTCTACAACTTCTTGTTTGGGATATTTTACCAAATAAATACCCACTTATTCATATATCCCAAACAAAACAAACTATTGAAGAAATATTATCCCGACGGCCCAAATCTCAGCGATATCATGTATAATGTGTCGTTAGTCCTCCTGAATTCGCACGAAAGTATCAATGGCGCTGTCCCGATTGTTCCAAATATGATTCACATTGGAGGGTATCACATTGCTCCACCGAAAAGGCTACCAGAAGATTTACAACATTTTTTGGACAGTTCGAAACACGGTGTGATATATTTCAGTTTGGGTTCTAACGTGATTCCATCCCAAATGCCCGACGCAACGAGAGACGCAATTTTGAAGGTATTGGGATCTAGGAAGGAAAACATTTTGTGGAAATGGGATCAAGACTCGGTAGTTAACCAGCCTTCGAACTTCAAGCTGTCCAAGTGGTTTCCTCAGCAAGATATATTAGGTACGTGTTATATAGGGTGAGTCAACGATAGAGTAAAGTTCATTATCGTCAGACAGTGAAAATAAAGACCAAATTTTAAATTCATAAAGCGTAATAAATGTTCGAAATATGCCCTTTTACTTGGTGTTGTTGGAGACTTAGGTAAACGCGATCTTCAACATATCCATACAAAAAGATATCGAGTGTAGTTAAGTCACATCCTCGAAGGGAACATCCAATGAAACCACCTCTACCGATCAATTTCTGTGAATAATTATTATCTAAAACATCTCGAACTTCTCGATGGTAATTCGGATGATCTCCATCTTGATGAAACCACATTTGTTGAATCTCAATGTTATCAACTCTTTTAGAATTTTAGACTAAAAATTTGGATCGGCCTCTATTGCTTCATTTATAACGGTGCAGAAGTTTGTTCAAAATCACGGTCTTGAAGTTCTTACAGTAGATTGGGATGTATTAGATAATTAGATTGCTATTGACTTGACTAAAATTTCCAATTATTTTTCCTCATTGGTAGCATTCCGGTTCCATTAAACACTGAAGAGATTGTCTAATTGGTATAGCGGGTGATGAATTGCCGAACGGAGCATAGGAAATTAAAATCAATTTTTAGGTGGACAAATGTTGTGCTGAGTTTTAATAAATTTTAATAAGCTAATCTGCTGTTATTGAATTAAATATCTTGAAAAAATTAGAAAATTTTTATAGTTTATTTACCAGAAAAATATCTTTTTACAATGACAACAAGAAAATTCATGACAGTAACAATATTTTCAATGTGATTGTTAACGTTATTAAACGCGCTCGAATTAAAGCTAAATATGCGTTATTAAATTGTAGAAAAGGTACCCATAACTAGGTGGTATTATGCAGGAAACACTGTCTGTACCGGAGCCAAGACAATGAATATCGTTTCATTGATACTCGAAGGCATATCCTAAAAAATAAATGTTATGGTGGAAATTTTCGGACATCATATTATTGGGCCATTTTTTATGGACTATAACCTTACGACAGAAAACTATTTGGACTAATTTCTAAATCAAATTGAACTCACACTGCAAGTTCGCGAAGGTCAGGAGATCCGCTACTAGATGAATGGCTTTCCCGCCTATAATTCCCGTATAGTTGGAGAGTATTTGCGAAATACTTTTAACGGTAATAATCTTGGTCCAAGGTGCCGAATTTTTTGGCCACCCAGGTCACCTCAGTTCTTGCCCAACGAGTTCTTTCTGCAGGGTTATGTATAAAAGTGGTAAATTTGAAAATCTTAACCAGTTGAAAAATGCTATTTCCTTCCAATGTTAGATCTGATTTTCTATTGATAAGAATATCTAAGAATGAGAGGTTATTACTAGTTTCTTATTGAATGGTAAAACGTATGCCCAGGTGTATAGAATTTAAATGTTTAAGAAAATCTACTGGGGTCTTGACCATGAGGCCAAATAAAAGTATCATCGACGATTTTAGAGGGAAGGTGTCGAGAGCTTCCTTTTCAAAGGCTTCTATAAATATATTCGTGATTACTGGTGATAGTGAAGAGCCCATAGTGGCCGACGTTTGTTCAAAAATTTGACCATTTTATGGTTCCAGATTCTCGAATTTTAATATATCTGAAAAGATGTTGAGAGTTTCAGTATGAGTTTGATCCTAAGAAACACATAATGACATACATACTTACTTTATTTCGAATGTGTCAAACCAAATGTACATGTTTTTATTGTAGTGTTATACATATTCGCTGGTGTTTGTTGTAATAGACCTTTTGCAATTTTGCCGCCACATTTAATTCAATGAAGATTGGCTTACTAGAATGTATTCAAATTCGGCACATGAGTTAATTTCCTATGTTCCGTTCGGCATCACCTAGTATGTCTATTAGGGTACTTCGCCATGTAAAGTCTTACTGCCAACCATACATAAATTAATTAATTCAGCTCTAGGAAAATCCATACTTAGTTTTTTTTTAAATTTACTTAATAAAAGTTGTTTTACTTAATAAGAGGTGCCGGTTTTGGAAGATAATTCAGAAAAAATAATGATATATATGATGTTCTATATAAAAATCGAGATTTTTCAATTTCAAATTATCCATTTATATTCGTTTATTTTGAACGCCGTATAGTATCCATTCAAAATCCGATGCATATATATCTTTTACGTCATAATACGTAATTCTTTTGCAAGTGTGAAAACAAGTATTAGGTTTAGGTTTGTATTATTATTAAATTTCAAAATCTTTAAGAGGAATTATAAACAACATTTAAAAATATTGTGCCGCATTTAAAAAACTTTATGTTGTATTCGTAACGCTTTTTTTGAGCCACCTTGATAATTTTAAGTAGGGCATACTGACAATCTTTATAACTTTTGTAATAAGCTTTTTCTTTGAGATCTTTGACCAGGCCCAACTCTAGAATGGAATAAGCTAACGAATCGGATTTTTGTCATATAAAATAACCTAGTGATTTGCAAAATTCGTAGCTTACATTTCTGGCAACACCAAAAACAAATTCTAGATATTTTACGATGGAAAGAAACACAATGGAAAGTAAACATTTTCGATGTTGCAATTTTAGATCGGTTAGGGACTGAGCATTTTTTAGGGGTACTTTAAAGGTTGGCGAAAAATACTATAACTGGTGTTTGTTTTAGCACATCCGAATATTAAACTATTCATCACCCATTGCGGTTTGCTGAGCACCACCGAGACGATCTACCATGGAGTACCCATCCTCGGATTCCCGGTCTTCGGAGATCAAAAGATGAATGCCGTTCGAGCAGCTACTCTCGGAATAGGAAAATTTATTCCTTTCTCCAAGATAAATGAACACAATTTGGAGGAAGTAATCAACGAATTATTGGATAATCCAAAGTAAGTCAAACAATTTAACGTGACAGCATGAGGGTTCCGGAGATTTTCCAAAAAAAAAAAAAAAAATATATATATATATATATATATATATATATATATATATATATATATATATATATATATATATATATATATATATATATATATTATAGGGATCCAAAATGAAATATGAAATATGAAACCACATAGGACATACTACTTCGAATTTTGTAATAGTATACGGCATATTGCGTCAGATAAAAAAAACGATTTACTATTAAATGTATCATTTAGGTCAAATTATTGTTTTGGAAATTTAGGATTATATACCAGGTTAGTCGAAAATACCGAAACGATTAAATAACTCGAAAACTGCCACGATAGAATTCAATATCCGAGACTTTTTGCTAACCAGAATGTTGTTAAACTTACTGCTCTTAACGAAAAGATTCTTAACATCTCACTTTTTGAATATAGCCTAAAGTTTGCTGATTTCTGCATGTTCAGAAACTCTAAGTTTCTGAATTCTATCGTTCCAGATTTGGCTATTTTCAGCGTTCTGGTACTTTTTACTAAGCAGATATGTAATATACAGGATGTTTTATAGTTGAATGTTAATAATTCAGGGGGAGATTTTTGGGTCCATTTTAAAAAGGAAACTTCATATGAATATATGTCCCAAATGTTTTATCTTTTGAGATACAGGCTGGTAAAATTTTCAAAAATAAAATATATTTTATTCATATCTCTAATAAAAGTCTAGAAGCATTATTTAGTGTATCACATTTTTTTTTAAATATGCTAGTGACGGGCGTACGAAATTTCATCTGTCTATTTTGACAGACATTGATGGTACGCCACTGATTGCTCTAAAGATAAAAAATATTCTTACAATCTTCAATCATTTCTAAAGAAATTTAATTTCTTGTTCTGCATGGTCATAGCAAAATCGTCAATGTGACAGCATGCAGAGAAAGGAGAAAGAGAAAGAGAAGAAAACTCCCTGGGTATACAGGTTGTCCAAATAGTGTGTCAAAATAAATTAATGCTTTTTCAATTTTATTAAGCATTCCCTATACTTGAACTTGGTATTTTTGAGGTATGTTTTTCTTTACATTAATTTGAGTTAGTTTTGGGTTAGTTTAGTTATGTGCAAATGTAAGTTGGAAATGCAATTCTAATTATTTCAAACCTCCCAATTTTGATTTGTTTTAATTTGAATTTATCGATGGAAAAAGTGGCCGAGATGATTTTCGTGCTGGGATCTAGCAAGAAGAATGCATGAGAATGAGAAGAGCTATGATAATGTACAAGCAGCAGTATCCCGATAGAAGGCAGCACTCTAAAAGAACTGGAGGTGTTACTTATGAAAAGAATGAAAGAACGTGGAAAAAATATTTGAAGTATTGTTTGGTTTCACAAAAAAACCTTACATGTCCCAAGACTTAATTTCTAAGAATAGACTTTATTTTATAATGAAAAAGGAAAAATGGTCTTTAAATTTTTGGGGTGGTATAGTAGGAAATAACGTTGTAGAGCCTCATTGTTTTTAGAGCAGAAATTACGAAATATATTAAGAACTATTCCAAACGAAGTGAGACAGAGATTGTGGTTCTTTCACGATAAGAGGTGTTGGATTAGACCGCCACCTAAATCTCCTGATCAAAGATTAACTATTTTCTGTGGATATATGTTGAACACCAGTTGTATCAAGTTACCCCCACAACATTAGAAGACATGAAACAGAGGATAAGAGAAGCCTTACAAAGTGTGAGTTGTGAAATGCTAGCGAATACTGCCCAATCGTTTAAACCACCACTTTTAAACTTTGTTCATAATAAAATTGCAGTTGTCGGAAATGGCGGAAAAAGTATAGGGTATTAAACACAGGGCATTTTTCACAAAAACATGGCCAATAATCCCAAAACACTCAGTATAGACTAACCAAAACTAACCAAAACTATAACATTGAGTTTAAAGTGAGTTTGATTTTCCACATATTTATGAATAACCTTGTATATTTAAAAGTAATTTTTTTCTTTTAGTCTCATCTATAACTTTTGTCTTTAACATTTTTCTCTAAAACAAATAATAAACGAGATATATTACTTTGACACATTATTTGGACACTCTGTATAATACAATTAAATAAAATCTGCAGTTTAAGTACCTGACTTCCATTTTTGGGTCTTTTTGCGGGGTATCTCGGTTATTTTTTGAGATAGATAGTTGCGGTTTGGTCTACAGCTTACTAATTTTTCGTAAAACTGAAGATGAAGTTACCAACATTTTCATAGAGCATTTAGTTCTTTAGATACAGGGCAATTTTTGAAACTATCCCCCCACCCCCCTCTTCAGCATGTATATCCCATAACCGTTAAACTTATCGAAAAAGTAAAATAATATTTTTATATATTTTTTGCAGTAGAATGCTGTAAATGTTTTTTTACAGATTTACTATTTTTAAGTTATAAACCAAAGTTTTTTTTCACTTTTTCTCAGAAACACATTTTGATATCATATTTTTATGTGCAAGCTTTCATTTGATTTCCGATATACTCTCTGAAGGCTTATTTGACGTCACAGGTCCTTCTGAAATCTGGCCGAGTTCTATCATCTCTGACAGCGGGTTGGCAATTGAAGATTTCATTGTCTGTAGGGACAGAAATGGATGGAGAGGTGGTGTGACTTTGTACACAAGTACAAGTATTTAATATGGGAAACTAAAATAATCGCAGGATGTGTTTGGGTACTCTGGTATAGGCCGAAGAATTCTAGTCCAATGCTTCGGACAGCTGGAGAAATGCGTTAGTAAGTTGGTAAGTGGGAGCATGGTTTTGCGACTTTTGGAGGAGATTTTAACGTTGATTTCTTTAATAAAAAGAGCACCAATTTTTTGTCACTTCAAAGTCTGCAAAAAATTACGGTTTATCTGTGTGTCAATGAATCGACCAGAATTTCTGCCACCACAGTACCCTTCTTGATTTGCTGATATGCTCAGTGCATTACTAACAACAGGAATTTCGGACTCCTTAACATCGAAATTAGAATTTCTAAATCTACCTATGTTTAAAACTGATGGAAACTTCTTTAAATGTAATTATGATACCTTTTTACTTGATCTCGAAAGAAAACACTGTGATCTTATCTTCTTTTTAGACAGTTTTAACGACATGGCCGACCATCTTAATAACAAGTTACTTATTCTTCTCCGTTCACATGTCCCTGTAAGAACTTCTAAAATTGATTAGCCGCCTGCTCCAATAACTTTGAAAATAATCAAAGTTATCAAAATAAAAAAAGAAAAGAAAAAGCATTTCTCAATATTTACAGTATTGTGCCCCTGAAACAATGAGGTTATAGTTGTGAAAGCGCTTTTGCAGATGTAATAGAGGACATTTTTAAGGCTTATGGTGATAACAAAATTACTGCCTTACTTTTACTTGGCTTTAGCAAAGTTTTGGACATGGGCATGAAGTTCTCATTTCAATTCTTCATCCAAGGATTCAGTGAAGTGTATCATCCTTTTTAAGTAAGATACAAAAAGTGATACTTAACGAATCAGCCTCTAGATCTTTAGGTAGTAACAAGGGAGTACCCCAGATTAGTATTTTAGGTGCACTTCTGTTTGCGAATTTTACATCGAGGTTTACCACATCATTACAGTTTTGTGACTATCATCTTTATGCCGATAATATTCATCTGTACTTTTCTTTTCTCAAAAGTGTGTTATCGAAGAAACTAACAATATTAATTCTCAGATAATATTAAAATTCTCTAAAAAACTGTATTTTTTTGTAGCAGTTGCTTGGACTCTAGATTCTTGGCTAAAATTTAAAGAGCACGTTACATGTAATATATGCATATGTATGTAATATGTGTTATTTAATAATTTGACGGACGAGTTAATTTGACACGAGCGGAGCGAGTTTTTAATAAACGAGTGAGTTAAAAAGTTTATCGAACGTGTTAGTTTTGGTTAGTATTCGAATGCGTCTCTCTCTCAAGCTTCTGAGTCAGTTTTTGGACCGAGTGTCCCGACGAATTTTGGACCTCCGAATGTCTCCAGTGCAGTGCAGTTATCGATGCCATAAATCACAGAATAACACCCCTACAGGTTGGCATGAAAATGGACAATCAGGTCATGATTGGAGCGTTTTATCAACTTTTCCGTCAGACATCTAATAATTACATTTTTTATTTACTAATAGTTTTTTAATCTTCATAGTTTAAATCTACGTGATAAATAGTAATGTTTAAGGTGCAAGTTATTTATATATACACTAATAGCAGTTTTATATTGGTTTAAAGAAATAAATATATTATTGTTACTTACCGAAGTGTTACTACAAGCATTTCTTCAGGTGGTATAGCCGGTCTCATTTTAGTATCTTCTTTTCCAATGTAATTTCTTATGCGACCCAATAAATAATCAAAGGATGCAACGAATATTCTAAAATAACTTAAAAACTTGGCAAATTTGCCGATCGGTTGAAAAACGCCCGTGCGAAAGAGACCTTACTGTGTCAAAACATTAGTTTTAAGATCGACTTTTGGGTGAACATTTTCGTTTCTACCTAATTAAACCTTTACTCAGGGTTAATAGAAAAGCCTATTTGCAATATTGTTCTACAAAGTAACCTGGCGCACTTTAAGATAAATGAACATCACCAAGAACAAAAATTCGGATTCTTCAACTATCATTGACAACACAAATAATTTAAATTGCATTTTCATTTATTCTTTATCTTTGGATTCTCTGATGACGTTATTATATCACACACCACATCTGCAAAATACATCATATTTATTAGGAATAAATGCCCCTCATCAGGTGAATGACCGGATGCCTGAAACTCCGCGAATGTTGTTCCTGTTCCTAAGACTTCAAATCCTACCCAACTTTCACGCCATAGGTTTATCAGCATCCTTCCAATACCTCCAAAAGTTTTTAAAAGAATAGTAGCAGATCAGATCTCAGAGATTATGACCAAAAACAACATTTTATGTCCACTCCGGATTCCGTAAATGTCACAGCATAGCTACTACCCTATTAAATATTTCTGATATGTTCAGGTTCAACGATGATTGTATTTTTCGATATCAGTAAGGCATTTGACATTTTAGACCACTATGTAATGCTTTTCAAATACTAATAATAGTTTATTTGCTGTAGGTATTTGCATAGTCAGCATCTACATTTAATAACCAATTTTACAAGCAAACAAGAGACCGAAATTCGATTTAAAAAAAATCTAGTTCAGTCTCTAAGGTAAGCTATATATAATATAGTGTATATATATATATATATATATATATATATATATATATATATATATATATATATATATATATATATATATATATATATATATATATATATATATACACTAAAATTCTAAATCATGGGCAAAAAGCATACTGATCGAAAAGGAAGGAAAAAAGGACAGAAAAGGAACCATTCATACGATGTCTATTTAAAAAATAACTGTATATAAAAAAAACACGTTACTCATATAATACTCAATTTATATTTAAATGCGCCCACTGATAATGTTTTAAATATATAAGTGGAACACCTTTCGTAGTAGTGTGTGCTACGTGATAGAGCAGATATGTAGCAGCAAAATCTTAAATTAAGGGTGTGCACATCCGAACGATAGCCGATTCATAATGACAATTTTATGAAACAACACAGCTGAGTGTAAGATTCTGCGCTTCTCCATAAAAGTTTTTTGGTTTGGGAGAGACTGTGCAATTTTTTTTCATCCAAAAGTCCCCTCGCTTTTCTCAATATTCACTTCTGATTTCGTACATTTTTTGAATTACTTGAATTCTGTAATCCTGACTTAGTATTTAATTAAAAATAAACTCTATAATGACTCCTTGTTTATAGTACAATGGACTGATACTGCATTGGGAAACCCTATGGCAAACTACAACTAACACATGCTTTCATTTTATTTCATGTTGCTTACTGTGATATAGTCTTATGGCCCGTTTTATTGCATTTATTGTAGAAAGATAGGAATAGTCTCCAATAGCGTCAGTATACTTGACTCTTTATAGTCTAAGCAAATTTGATCATTTCGGCAATTGTCCGGAAGGCTCACTTTAAGCGCGAGATACACTTTGAATTTGGCATTAAGGTTCGATCTAGTGGGTGTCCTGAATGAAAAAACAAATCATAACACACTGCGAACTTCACAATTTGCTTGCGCGAACTTGTATAGTGTGTCGCGACACAGTACCGCTTTGTACCAGAGATACTTTAGTTGCAATGTATCTTCAATTCCCTAAGGCCGGACGCCAGATCAGCATTACGAAAGAAAATAACACATAATTTTTTTACCCTCATAAATTTTTCATAATGGTGTTGTAAATATTTGTAAGAGCAGCCATTCATTATGTAACAATATTACCAATACAACAACCGTTTTATCTAATTCAAAATTGGCACTTGTAATTCTTTGAATAGCATTAACAACACAACCCACAAAAATCTCCAAACAGCTAAACAATCTTACCAGCGTCTCAGATAATGTTCATGCTCCTTCTTTAGTTCTTCCTCCCTTAAACAGCATATAAATTAGTACAGAGTAGAATGCGAACCAGTTTCAGTTTAGCTCTAAAGAATTCAACAGGATCATTGGCGAAACAAGCAAGTTTGATTTATAAACAACGACGTATTGCGGCGCGGGGGGGGGGGGGGGGGTAGAAAAGATTTGTAGATAGTATTACAGTAGCCTGCGGATGCTTCTTTGAAAAATTAACTAAATGAACCATTAACAGCATCTTTAGTTGTACGAAAAAGTAAAATACTGTCGAACCTATAAGAAATACCTATTATATGCAATTTTTCTTTTCAGGTACCTACAGAATGCGAAATATAGGTCCCAGCTAATGCACGACCGTCCAGTTAAACCCATGGATTTAGCCATATACTGGATTGACTACGTTATACGTCACAAGGGTGCACCTCATCTGCAAGTTGCGGGAGTTAAGTTACCACTATACAAATATTTGATGCTAGATGTTCTGGCAATAATATTTGCTTTAGTATTTACGATTTTGTATGCGGTTTATAGGATCGTGAAACAATTTAGGACCCGAAAAGTAAAAGAAAAGAAACATTAAAAAGCTAACGATTTTACTCCATTATGCCAATTGCCTTGCCTTTATAAACAAATGCAAAGGTGCAAAAATTAACAAAATTATGATCTTTTAAACGCTTGTCGTGTCCAAATTTTGAAATGGTGGTCATTCAATGACTGTTTTTAAAGTTAAAATTATATACGAAAATAACGTAAAAAAATAAATTTAGATATTCGACTGTATAAATTAATTTTTGATCCTTTTTCTTAATGCAATAAATCATTAGGTACTAAAGTATTGTTGATTTTGGTATGCCTGTCTCAACAACATGCGTTATAGAGAGTTTTTCACCCAAGCCATTCATTAAAAGTTTATAAAGATGTAATTTACATACACCTTTCAATTTTGGGTTTAAAGTAACTGCCAAATTTACTAATTTATAAAAATATTTTCAATTTCCTGTCAATTTCGGTTCAACCGGAAGTTGCTGTCAATTTGTTTATTTCAAATGAAACACCCCGTACATTATCACATTTTGAGATTTTGTGAAAAATTCGAAACATAGTTTACGTATAATGTGCTATACCGTCTTCGAAATATTTGACCTTGAAAAAAAATTGCACGTCTGCTTTAGTTAATATATAAAATTATTATAATGTCTGAAAATTTTATTTTAAAAAAGTGGTTTAAGTTCTTTTTTTAATTGTTGTTGTCTACTTTTTTACAAGTGCCCAAAATTAGGGCGCAAACATTCACATTTTCAAAGTCGCTAACCTTGCTTTTTTTAAATGGAGGCATCCTGTAACTTTAACTGTTATCAAATCCAGGACTTATTTCTATATCAAAGTGCATTAGGGTTACCTATACCTATTTCGAACTATAGACGAAGTAATCAGGTTTTTTAAAGTTTTTGTTCGGCCTTTCACTTACTTGGTTATAGAACACAATTAGTGCGTTCTGTTGTCAGACTAATAATTAATATAGCAATAATAATACATCTTAAAAAAAGGCAATGAACATTCCCTCTAAAACCCTTAAGTTGTGAAGGGTCACATTTCATAAGTTTACCCTGCCACATATTGAATAAAAATTGATTAATGCCAATAAACAAAAATAAAAGTCTGGAAACACAACCTGCATATATATGTTTGACTTATTATTTGTGACAATCTCCACCCTTTTTTTTGTTATTTACTCTTTTTTTTTCAATTATTTCGTTGACATGTTGTTTATATTTATTAACTCATTATGAATCTCTGTCTTAAATACTCATATATGAAAATCATAAAAATAACGATTTTTGGATGATTTCCAATTTTTTACAAAGAATATCCAGTATTCCTTCCTACCTAAAGTGTTGAAATATGGTGTTAATTCAAATTGTTTCTAAAATATTTCGGGTATTGGTTTCGCTTGGTATTGGGAAATTTAGGATTTAACAAAGTATTAGTTTATCTTGACGATATTATAATTTCAGGTAAAAGTTTCTTTTACTAACTTTGAAGAAAGTAGTAAATTTGTCCAACAGGAATGGTCTAACTTTTAAATTAAGTGAATGTAATTTTTTATTTCAAAAAATTGATTTTTTGGAGTATCAAACTCTGTAATTAAACCAACTGTCGTCAATATTTTCGGATTAGAAAATATACATAATCTACGAACATTAGTAAGATTAAACAATTATTGTCGGAAATTCATTCAAAATTATTATTTATATTATTAAAACCAAATCCAAAGAGAAAGAGGAACGGGAACAGCCTTATTCCTTTGAACTGGGAACATTAGCAGTAGAAATTCCGTTAGTATTTATATGGGTGAAAAAGTATGCGATATGTCGATGCTCCAAAGCTAGTTGCAAGATATCTACGACAAGTTGTCTACTTCCAAAAATTTATCCTCAAAATATATTTGCGAAAATTTTGTAAGTATTATGGAAAGTGGCGGGTGGTAAAAATGTATAATAAAGTATTAATATTTAATCGATACTTGTTGGTACATTGGTACATTCTATATATATATCTACTATCTATATCCTATATCAAAAATCTCAGGACCTATATAACAATAGTAGAAAATATTATAATATCAATATCATAATTATGTAAAAATAATCAATAAATAATCTTTTACTTCCTTAAAACGTTAAAATTAATCGCAGCACAAAGAGCGATTGGATCCAAGACGAACTGCACTAAGAAGGTGACCTGGTCTTGGCATTACATCGGTACAATAAACAAAAGATATTGCTGAAGTGGTGAGGTCCATTTAGGTTCTCCAAGTGAATAGGGAATGACAGGTAGACAGTGGAGGATATTCACGAATGAGAAGGTAATAGGAAAGTTACTGTAGTGTGGCTGAAGGTGGAGTGAAAAGTTTCCGGCCTGGTCAATTTTGTTTTCTTGCATTATTTTTCGACATAATCACCATCAACGCTGATACGTTTCTTACAATGGTGTTCTAATTTGGTTATATCAGTTTTAAACATAGATTCGTCAAGCTCCTCAAAATATTGATTTACAGCTTCGATAACTTTTTCGTTGCTCTTAAATTTTATACCGTCAAGCCATTTTTTGAGGTTAGGAAACAGGTAATAGTCGCTGGGGGCTAAGTCTGTAGGGTAGGGAGGTTGAGACATGAATTCAAACAATTCGAGGATTTTGGACATGGCAACAATGCGCTGGTGCGTTCTCGTAATGAAACAAAATTTTTTTCTTCGAAAAATAAGGTCGTTTAATTTGCAAATCCTTATTTAAACGTTGCAATAACTCTACGTAGTAATGACCAGTAATAGTCTTACCCTTTCCAAGGAAATCAATTTATATAATTCCTCTCGCATCCCAAAGAACAGTGGCCATAACCTTGTTTGCCTTTAAAATTGTTTCAGAATTCTTTGGAGTTCGTTCCCCTTTTGCAAACCACTCTTTTGACTGTTCCTTATTTTGGCGTAAAGTCTTTCAAATAGAATTTTTCAACAACAGAAGCGTCTCGCTCAATGTAGTCAAAATAACGTCTCGATTAGGCTGAAACTGTACATAATGGGTGTTTTTTTTCAATGTATTGAACTTTAAGTTGGCATTACTGTTCAAGATGACGACCGATTTAACAGCTGTCAAGTGATTTATTCTCAGTTTGGTTTGGCAATTCATCATGCATAGATTCACGCCTGAACAACGCTTGCAAATAGTGCAATTTTATTTCGAAAATAATGGTTCTGTGCGGAATACGTATCGCGCACTACGTCCATTTTATCACAACAAAATCGTCCATCAGGGCAGTTAATTCGATTAACCATGGAACGTTTTCGCACCACGTTTACTCTTATTGATAAGTCGCATCCCCAGAGACGCCGTACGGTGCGTACAGAAGAAGCTATTGCTGCTGTAGAGCGCAGCATTGAGGTAAACCCGAATGAGTCCATCCGCCATCGAGCACAGGAATTGGATCCACTTTATGGAAGATTTTGCGGAAGGATCTTGGTTTACGTGCTTACAAAATCCAACTCGTGCAAGAATTGAAGCCAAACGATCATCAAGTAAGGCGTAGATTCGTCGAATGGGCCCAAAACGAGATTGCCGTTGTTCCCGATTTTCATAAGCGATGAAGCGCACTTCTGGTTGAATGGCTACGTCAACAAACAAAACTGCCGCATTTGGAGCGAAGCTAATCCTCAAGTGTATGTCGAAACACCGTTACATCCAGAAAATCTGACTGTTTGGTGCGCTTTATGGGATGGTGGAATCATTGGTCCGTACTTCTTCAAAAACGATGATGGCCAGAACGTTACAGTCAATGGTGATCGGTATAGAGCTATGATTACTAACTCTTTCATTCCTGAATTGAATAACCATAATGTCCAGGAGATGTGGTTTCAACTAGACGGCGCAACATGTCACACAGCTCGTGCCATAATCGATTTATTGAAAGACGTTTGGTGACCGCCTAATTTCACGTTTTGGACCTGTGAATTGGCCTCGAAGATCTTGTGATTTAACACAGCTAGACTACTTGCTGTGGGGCTATGTAAAGTCATTGGTCTATGCGGATAAATAACAAACGCTTGACCATTTGGAAGACAACATTCGCCTTGTTATTGCCGATATACGGCCACAAATGTTGGAAAAAGTCAGCGAAAAATGGACGTCCAAATTGGACTACATCCGCGCCAGCCTTGGCGGTCATATGCCAGAAATCATATTTAAAATGTAATGCCACAGGATTATTTTTCGGATAAATAAAATTCATGTCAATCGAATAATCCATCGTTGTTTTATTGCCTCAAAGTTCTAGACATCGAAAAAAAGACTCGGTAAGGATGGTACTGTGTGGTGACCTTGTGGTCAGGCCGGAAACTTTTCACTGCAACCTCGTATGTAGTCATGAATACAATTTTAAATTGTGTAAGGTATGCATTGTGTAATGCGCTTTATTGTTGTACATAATGACTCGCAGGATTTTCGATTATTTATTGTAACTAACTAACCAAAACTAAGGACTTGGACGTAACAAATCTCAACTGAATATGTCCTCCCAGGTTACCAAATTTGATTCTAAAGTTAATTATGATGCGTACAACAATTGACAATAGATAAGCGAGAGAACAAAGTTTAAGCATTTAAGGTTAGAGCATAAGATGACCAATATTTGTACACGATAATTAAGAAGTAATTACACCGATGGAAGATTAGTCGACAATATTGATATTTATTCAGGAACTGAAAAGTAAATATTTTAGGGAGTAAGAGGGCGTTAGAAAAATACCGTGTTTCATACAGAGTTAAAATAATACGATACATATATAACATCTACGGACGTACATTACAATTGGATAGCTGGAAATGGCGGTAGGGTCACATTTTGGTAAGAAATATGTACAGCCACTAGAACCGCTTGGTGAGTAATGCGGACACAGCCTTAACAAAAGTAATGTTGTGCCACCCGGAGTACTCTCATCTCCATATGCAATGCAGTGGTCATATCATTCAAATTCCTTATAGTTCAGGCTAATATCCTATTGGATTTGAAACGAATGTGTCGGTCTGTAAGATATAATTTGGTTTCTCGAATATCAGAATGGAGCCAGCAATTCAAGCGCAGTTTCATAAATCGTTCAAATTTCGGGAACCACAGAGAAACGACAGGCAGATAGACTGCGACGTGGCAGTATCCGAAGAATACAGATCTGCCGATATTCGATTCCGATTATCGCGCTTCTGTTTTACATTTATAAATAAAAAGTGAGTTCTACTTCATGATCATTGTGAAAATTTTCTAAAATCGTAATTTTTAATATTTTACATTTGGTGAAAGTTTAAAAGCTTCAAATTAATACTTGCCAAATGTCAAGAAATCAATCAGAGAATTATTTGGGTGAAATTTGTGAAAAATTCCCTCCCTTCATTCCTTGTCTTATCCTTTGTTTACGCAAGGTTTCGGGCAAATGTATCACACTAATTATACTTCTAAGGCTGCGAGGCTTATATAGGGTATCCAAACAGTGTGGCAAACTAATATGTCTTTTTCATTACTTGTTTTACAGAAAAATATTAAATGCAAAAGTAATAGATAAAACTAAAAGAAACAATTTAAAATTGTTTTCAAATATATAGGGTGATTAAAATTATGTGAAACATCAAACTTATATTGTTTGAAATGGAACATGCTGTATATTGTGGCATTAACAGATGCTCAGTGTTATGTTCAATCAGGCCATGTAGGGTTGTTGCCATCTAAATTGAGTGTGCTCGGATTTAATGTCATTTTTTCACCCAAAATGACCTGTGTTTAATACTGTACATTTTTGACGCCGTTTCCGATATTCCGAATTTTATTGCGCGAACAATTTTATAGAGGAGTAAAGTCATTTATCCGATACTTGTCTTGAATTTAGTTAGATTATACAAGTTGAGTCAAAATAGAAAATATTGATTTTCGTAAAATCAAATGGAACACATCTTATACTTTGACTAATTACTCCTATTAATGCTCTTTTAATTTTCTAAGCATTCCCAATAACTAAACTAAACATTTTTGAGATATACACGCTTTTGCGAACAAAACACCGAAATTTTTTAAATTGTGCCGAAATATCACAAGAGAGTTTGAACAAAATTACCTAAGAGACTAATAAAGTATAATTCTTTGTAACCTTTGCAAATTTTGGGCAAACAATTTAAATAGCATTTTATGCTAGGGCTAATATTAAAAATGCAATATTAGTATTGCTAGTAGGTCCAAAAAACACTTAAGAACTGAGAACAAAGCTACAAAACAGAAAGAACGGTTTAATTAAATTTAACTTAATTTATTGCTCAAAATGTGTCCCACCGAATTCGATACACGTTCTAACACGGTCGGTCTTAAACGATCGGAGAGTCTAATAATAATAAGGCAGTGCTCAAGAAAATTGAAAAAGCATTAATATGAGGAATTAATAGAAGTGTACAATACAGAGTGTTCAATTTGATTTTTTCAAGAAAATTAATATTTTTTATTTTAACTCACCCCGTGTAAACGATTCGCACAAACCAACCAAAACTAACCAAAACTAACTTCGCGACAAGTACAGGATAAACGACTGTATCACTTTATAAAATTGTTGGTTGAGTACAACTATATTGAGTGAATGAATACAACTTCCTTAAACTGACGCGGTTCCCTATGGACAACCCGAGCTTCAGACCATTTGATCTGGTGTTGCATGGTCCATACATGTTGCATGATTCCTGATATTTGGATTTAAACCCCTCATTATGTGTTTCCTATGATCTTCATCTCTAACGTTTGAAAGTCTTTTTGTTTCTTCAATATATGACTCTCCACAGTTACAGGGTATTTGGAAGTTTCACTATATTTCTTGAGTCGATGTTTCTGGCTTGGTTGTTGTATGTATGCTCTTTAATGTCGTCCCTAACATATACTTATACTATAAGGCTTATAGGATCGTCAAAAGAGAGAGAGAGTATTTACCTCATATCGTTTTGCTGTTGCTGTTCAT